TTCTTTACTGCTGCATGGAGGGCGCCATAGCGACCAGCGTTTTCCGGTTGAATGTTTAGAACTTCCTTTTACAGCGTTTACAACTGGTAATTTCTTCAGTAAACTGGTAATGAAACTTGTAATGAAACTGGTAATGAAACTTAACAAGTATATAAGTCATGCAATTTACAAAAAAACCAATAAAAGTCTGTTACTGATACTCTTCTGGCTGATTTGCATGTTTATTCTAATCGCGAACCATTTGTTTTATTTAGTGTGTTGTGTAGTATTTACCCCAGTTTGTGTTTTTCTGTCATGTCAAAATGTCACTTTATTTTCACTTTGTCACAGTTATTAAATCAATGTGTTAGTGGGACATTGCAGTAGGCTTTGTGTGTGTGTCAAACATTTTGGTGAATTACATTTGTTTGGGTTGGTTATATATTTGAAAGACTGAAAATGTTGAGTTTAGAGATGACGAGGCTGCATTTAAACTGCAGAAGATGCCGTCTGATAACGAGAGAAAAGTGCCTCACAGCAGCTGTTTTATATCCTATTAGATCACATTTTTTTTAAATAACCAGTCCAGGAGGTGGTGCTGATTGACAATCTAACTATCATTTAAAGCTGTCCTAATGTGACTGTTTACATGCGTCAGCTGCCTACTTGAAGTTTTTAGCATTCTCATTTTGCGTTCTAAGAAAAACGTCTATAGTCTCGACCAGGATTCAATGGAAAAATATTTCTGCACATTTTATATTATGTTTCCTCTCATTCAGCACATTCAAAGTGAAATGTCAAGTTTTTGGATAGACTTTCTTTTTTGTGTGTGAATGGGGTTTGAAATGTTTTGAGCCACATCGACCACTTCCAGAGCTACTTGACTGTGGCTCTCCTGGACTGAACTCGTCAACTTGTCTGGATAAAGGAGAGATGAGGAAAGAGAAGGAAGAATGAAAAGACAAAGGTCGAGTTTTTCAAGATTTGGCTTCCTTAAATATATGTATTTGACTCTGCCAAACTTATTTTTATTCATATAGTCAAGAGCCCTACAGACGATTACACACTCTCCAGATTATTCAGCTTTCTCCTCTGCCTCCCACCTCCTTAACTGCTGATAATTTCATTAATTCATTTACTCACAAAACTTCAATCAACAGTAGTCAGTTCTCAACTTCACACATTCAGAAAAACTTGGGGCCAAATACAATTCATCGAATAGCCCCTATCATCTTTTACTTTCAGCTCAACACACAACTTGTCCTCTCGTCCCCTAACACCTTTTGTTAGCCATTACCCCACTCTTATACCAGAAGTCACACATGTTATCAACACATCTCTCATGGTTGTTGCTGTGTAGGAAAAACCTTCAAGCAGGCCCTGAAAATTAGTTTAGCAGAATATTGCTCCGGTGGTGCAAATGGTCAGTGTACTGTACTCATGAAACAGTACACAGCAATGCTAAGGTCATAGCCGGCAGCTAGCTCTCTGCAACTCTCACATGGTCGCCCACTGAAGCTAAGCAGGGCTGCGCCCGGTCAGTACCTGGATGGGAGACCACTTGGGAAAGCTAGGTTGCTGCCGGAAGTGGTGTTAGTGAGGCCAGCAGGGGGCGCCCAACCTGCGGTCTGTGTGGGTCCTAATGCCCCAGTATAGTGATGGGGACTCTATACTGCTCAGTGAGCGCCGTCTTTCGGATGAGACGTTAAACCGAGGTCCCGACTCTCTGTGGTCGTTAAAAATCCCAGGATGTCCTTCGAAAAAGAGTAGGGGTTTAACCCCGGCATCCTGGCCAAATCTGCCCACTGGCCTCTGTCCATCATGGCCTCCTAACCATCCCCATATCATGATTGGCATATCATCACTCTGTCTCCTCTCCACCAATCAGCTGGTGTGTGGTGTGTGGTCTGGCGCAAAATGGCTGCCGTCGCGTCATCCAGGTGGATGCTGCACACTGGTGGTGGATGAGGAGATTCCCCCCCATTGTGTAAAGCGCTTTGAGTGCCCAGAAAAGCGCTATATAAATGTAACGAATTATTATTATTATTATTATTATTATAAGTTTGAGCCTCATCTGGAATATATTATTTGAAATTAGGAGAGGTAGTAATTGCAAAACATTATAACTGGTAAATTGTATAGATTAATCATTGAATGGCCATCAATAAATGGGAACATTGGGAAACCTTTTTTTTTGAAGAATTCAAGGATGCATTAACAGGGAAAAGCTGAAATACAAGTTATTGCAACAAAGTTGCAACATGTGGCACTTACAACACACAGAAAAGCAATGCAGAGTTTGTGAGTTCCCATCTGAAGTATGTTTCTTAAGCAATAGTTCCCTTCCAGAATGACTGGTCTATTATTTATTATATTATTATTATTATTATTATAATTATATCTTTTATATAGAGGTCAATGATGGAATTTTTATTCTGAAAGTGAAACACTCCTGTAGGAGACATAATTACTAAATTCTCCTGTGGAAAACCTAGACCAAACCTTTAGCAGCAGCTCCTATATCCATTCACAGACAGCAATCATTTCTCTACGCGCTGGCAAGTGGCGGTGAATTTAACTGTCCACCCAGCAAGATTTTAGAGCACTAAAACCTCCACGGTGGCAGACTCTGCTCTATTGACCTCATTGACTGTATAGTCCTTCTTTTTCCTAGGTTTTAAAAATAATAAAACAAAGTTTAGTGTTTGGGGAGGAAGGAGGCAGCAATGGGGAAACAATAAACAACTATAAGGAGGACAGAAGGTCTTCTCCTGTCATCCTCAGCCATTGCTACTCTTATCCTTCTGCAGCTCATTTGTGGGATTCAGGAATGGTGTAGCAGTAGCACACCATGACAAATAGTAACACAAGCGCCACCAATCCTCACCTCTCCCACACCTATCTGCCTTGCTCCACTCATCACAATTAGATTAAAATCAGAAAAGTGCTACACATATGCCCGCCCATAGACCCTTCTCAAGAGTAGCCAAATTAAGTCCTGGAAAGCCCCATTCTTGCTTAGTTTTTTCTGTCCTAAAGCCCTGTTCAAACTGCACAGTTTTCTGTAAGAAGTAGGGTTAGGTGTAAGGTTTGGGTAGCGCAATAGAAAATACAGTTTTTACAGTATTAAAACAATGAAAACCTGTGTGTGTGTGTGTTCTCTGAACAAATGATGTGCCAGCAAGAGGTGCTTCTGGAGTTGCAAAAGTGGTTTCTCAATAGTCCCTTTCAAACATTGATACTGATAAATATCCCGAAAATTACCATAACAACTTTACCAGTAAATAAAAAAAAAAAGCAGACAAGGACGTTGTGGAATTTTTTGGGTAAAAGACCATTCACACATCCATTCCAAAATACTGGTAAATTCTGACATCATTAACCAGAAATTACCTCTAAACGGTTGCGCTTGTATTTGTAAACATAGAAGGGGTCAGGCTTTTGTTGATGATTGATGGTACATAATATGTGTGTGTGTGTTGGCGCTCGCAGGCTGCTTCATGTTCACATATGTCAAGCAACTAATGCAGAGCTTAAAGGTAAACAATCAGCAGTTTATTATAAGCATTTTAGGTAACACTTTAGAATAATTATCCGTTATAACTAGTTAATAGTCCATTAATAAATTGTTAGTTAATGAGTTATAAATTACTTGTTAAATAAAAGGTAAAAGCTTGTTAATTATTTATAACTGGACCTTATAGATAGCCAATAGATAACTTACAAACTGTTAGTTAGCAAGTTATAAATGATTTGTTACTGTATTTTAATGATTTATAACTATACCTAACAAATTAGTAATAGTTCATCAACAAGCTGTTGGTAAATTACTTACCAAAGACTTGTTAAGTATCAGTTAATAGTTTTTTTATATGTTATTAGGACGTTATTCTAAAGTTACAACTATTCTTCAAATATTAACTGTTAGTAAATGAGAAATATTTGCAACTTTAGAATAACTTCCCAATAACATACATAAGCTAATAACTAACACTTAACTAATATATTAACTCACACTTTTTCTTACCAGTGAAACTTTTTAGAACAGCAAATAGATGGAACAAGTTCAAGCTACAGATTTAATTTGATGTGATACAGATAAATTTAATGTGATATTTAAAATATAACATTTTTGTACCTTAATCTTGTTCCACTTATAGGCTTATCTGTGTACTGTATATTACCAAGAAACTTCTCAGATGAAATGTTGATCATTGTGTTTAATGTATAGAAATACACCTAATGACTCATTACATGACAGAACAGTAGAATACAACCATATAAACCCATGAGGTTTGGGCACTTATTGTTCTAAACATGAAAACAAAATCAGTAAAAAAAATTATTTTATTAGAAAAAGTTCTACAAAAGTTTCACTGGTGTAATTAGATGGTAAAGAAACTATGAATAACTGATCTGTAAACTTTTATTTAACAAGTCATTTATAACCCGTTAACTAACAGTTTATTAAAGGTCGATTAACTAGTTATAACGGATAGTTATTCTAAAGTGTTATCGCGTTTTATAACATTTTTTTTCCACAGTTGGCATTAAGAAGGAACAAAGAAACATTATCTGACTAACATCTAGCAACTGTGTATGGAAAGTTTTCCAAAGGCTTTTATTTTCGTAAACTGCACATGTGAATGTGTCTGACTGTTCTGATTGGTTGGAGTAGACATCTCATGTCAGAATGTTCTAATCGGGAACACGCTCTTTCCGGAAATTTTCCTTCTGCGTTCACAAAGCGCAGCATTCTGGCAAATTACTGGTAATGTTATTTCTCTTACTTCTCTTACTTCATTTTAATTGAAGTTTCTCTTTCTGAAAAATTGCCAGAACGAATTTACTGATATTTTAAAAAAAGGCAAGTTCACACATGATCCCTTTCCGGAAAATTGCCAGTAAATTTCCAGAAAGGTCTGTATGTGTGAAAGGGGCTAATGACTGTAAACAAGACAGCCCTACGCTCACAAACCGTAATACTACTTAAAATAAAAAATTACACAATCAGTCACAAAAAGTTTCCCATATTCCATTGTGAATGACAACATAAGTGATTTGATAGTTTACATGATAATTCCAGTACTCACCAGGCTTTTTATTCTGTCCTAGTGATCCCTTGATGACACAATACATGCAACCGTACTATTGCGATAACTCCACAAAGATTTCCATTTCATGTCCACCTAGCAACATAGTCCTCTGTCTTCCTTTCTGCCATTGTAAAAGTTGTGTACCAAAAGATATTCTGTGATCCTATTGGTCAACATCACTCATGTGATGGACCCCGCTGTTGATGACAGGAAAAAAGTATGCGCTAGACTTGCGGCTTTGGTGTTATGAAGCATTGAAGACATGGCAGCAGTTGTCATTCACTATGGCAACCTACACAAGAAGAAACAGTTGAATTTGTTGTTTATAACAAACCTACTTCAAGCAAATTGTGCTGAAACTGAGAATTGTCTATTCTACAATGATCAAAAACTCTTTTGTCTGTTACTTTCTAATTTTTAGTACGGTGTACTGTATTTGAGTAAGGTTGAATGGAATGCTACAGTAATGGCTTCCCAAGAACAAACTTGCATATTATCTGCCCTTAACAACATCAAGGAAGTGGTCAAAGTGGACAAATGAATTGGATTAATCCACAAGGTGTAGATTAGAATATGTATCAATGCATCTTAAAATGCATGTGTAAAAAGACTTAAGTGGTTCTTCTGCATTTAAAAACACATGAAACCTTCTCCTAGACCTAAGCGATAATGATAACAAGGATTTGGCTGGCTTCTGCAAATCTTTATGCTCTTTTATGATGACTCATGCCTCACAGATATCCTATCCAAGCAGTCAAATATGTGCAATTCTGTAGCAGATGAGCAACCAACTAATATTTTAAGCAAGAATAAACATATAATAATAAACACAACAGAAATATTTGTAGGCAATAGTATTGTGCAAGCAACATGAAGTGTATCTATCATAATCTTACCCCATAAGATCTGTGAAGAGAAAAGAGGCACTTTTCCCTCAAATGAATGTTAATGCTATCTGAAGACTCTCTTTTCTCTCTTTGCAAACGGCAGAACATGGCAGTGTTTAAATGCAGCTGCTTTAGATTTAATGAGTCAGTTATGCTCGTCATCCCGTAGAGCATTTTTCTCCCATTTGCACACAAGAGCGCTGCTTTTTGTGTGTGTAGACTGTTGCTAAGGCGATGGAATAGTGACAATTTCTCCGTGCATTGTGAGCTAGAATCCCTTCTTTGGCAACATAGCAGCCTCTGCTGTGAAAGTCCCTGGTGTGCGCCATTGAATGAAATAAAATTCATAAAAGAGAACGTCCTTGTGTTCACAGTCATTCCACTCTTGGCAAATTACATAAGGTGGATATAAAGATTCTGTGTACTCAACAACAACTGTCTGAAGTCTTTTCGCTTTACCCCCTCAATTATTTTACCTCTTTTCACTCTTTTAGCTGTACAGCATTATTATATTTTGTTTTTTGAATGTGAAACGATGGATTTACTTTTTTTTTGTATTTGCATTCTCTCTGTATATTGTACATTGTTTTCTGTGCATATTTTGTGCTACATTTTCTCCCATAAATACCGTAAGTGTCTGGTGTCAGTTCTGCAATGCTTAACAGCTCAGTATGTTGATTCAGTAGCACAAACATAAAAAAACAAATCTTGTAATAATAACTCAATATGAAAGCATGCTTCGCCTCAGTGGCCTCTCCTTGGCTGGGTGAAATCGTGGAATGGAATGACTGAATCTTGACAGCCTTCAGTAAATGGTTTCTTTGATGACATTGGTGGAAAAGGTCTGGTTGCTGCAGATGCTGATAGAGTGTCTGGTAAGAACGCGCTTCTGCTTCTTATGGCGGCATGGCAGGATTAGGTAGCGAAGCGTGGAAAAAAAAATTTGCCTGTAGTTTGCTGAGACGAGGTTGTAGAGGATGGGGTTGATAGCCGAGCTGACATAGAAGAGCACATTGGTGACCATGTAGAAGTAGTGGTAGAAATCGTAGAGAGCACTGTTGAAGAGAAGAAAGAAATTTGATAGATTTGTTCAGATTTGAACCCTAAAGCATCCTAGAGGACAATTTTAGACAAAATATATATAGATCATGTCCACTTGTTTACAGTTTTTCTCTGTGGCTTTGGTGCATTTCTCACAACACTATTTACATTTGCACAACAGTTAATGCATTTCTCAAAACAATTAGTGCACATCATAGTAGCAGTTTCTCATTCCTTTCGACAAATTGTGCTTTTGGACATGCATCAATTGCCTTCATACAGCTCTCTGCTGTTTTATAACACTATCATTTTCGTATTTCATCTCAGTCAAAATTAACTAAACTTGTGAATGCTTAATAATCATTACATGTAAAACTAATAGTCCTCATTTAATTACATAAGTCATTGCATATCAAAATGTTAAACTAAGTTTTCAAAATCTGTCAAGCATATATTTTTTAAAAATGTTTAAATCTTTATTTTTTCCTGAAAATGTCTACTAAATTGAACAGTTTCAGAAATGATTTACAGACCGGTGTATTTTGTAGGTTCAGTTCCAATATGTACTGCGATATTGTTTACAGTTGTGCACGGCTCTACCCAAAGAGAGTTTATGCTTGTTGTAAATAAAGATGTATTGATTCTTTTGCACAATGCTGTGAATCAATTAGAATTGCAAAGAGAAAATGCAGTAAAATTGTGATAATATTCAGTGTCTTGTCACTGTTAAAAATTGTCCCGTTAAAAAACGATAAAATACTGGCAGCTGCAGTTGCCAGCAATGTACTGTTATTTTACAGTATGTTCCTGTAAAAATACATGGACTACATTGAAATAGACAATACACAAGTGAACCCATTTTGCTTACTAAAAGCAACTGCCTTAAATTGGTCAACTGCTGAATGAGTTTATGAAGTATTGTGCTATATATGCTTAGAAGCATACTTATAATGATACCTTATTTTAGTTAATTAGAAAAGTTCTGTTTAACTCAAATGTCTTAAATTTCACATCAGCACACATACATGTAAAGTTGGAATTAACACAGAGAGATTCTTACTGCATCAGCAACTAAACAGCCACTGCCTTTAAATAAAGAAACATGCAGAATAACATCAGCAGCTCAATGTTAATCTTTAAATCATACACTGGCTCTACTCTCCTCTACAACGGTGACACCGAAGAAATTTGCTTCAGGTTTTTACAGTAAAATACTGTTTTTTCCTTGATTTAACGGTAAACTACTGGCAGCTGTGGTTGCCAGCACTCTACTGTTTTTTTACAGTCTACCTCGGTAGTTTAAATTAACAGTATATTACTGTTAAAATACATTTTTACACTGTTTTTACCTCTTACACCTTTAACCCTTTAAACCCCAGTGCATAAACTTCAGTTTTAATTGAAGTGTCCACACTACTGAGTGTTCAAGAAACATGTAGCATAGCTAAAGTAAATTAATTAATTAAATGACTATTTAAATGATAATTGAGGATTAGCATAAACAAATGAAGTAATACTGAAGAGAAAAAACAAGAACAGAACATAGAAAAACTACAACTTTAGTCACAGCTTTGTAATGAATTAACCTAAAGGTCAACAAATGATTAAATAATTAAAATTATCAGCAGATGATTAAACAACTCCACAAACATCATTACCAGCTACACTTATTACTAAAACATGTATTTTTGCATAACATCTACTAAAGTTCTTCTTGTGAGTAAGTTTAACATTTTACGTCACCATCATGGAGAAGAGTTTGCTTTAGTTGGTCTCTTAGTCCTGACATTTTTATCATTAATATATTTTGGTTGAAGCGTGTCTTTGTCATAACTAAACTGTTTTGTATGTTATTTCTTAACTGTAATTATGTAGGTATCTTATCTGTTTCTACTTATTAATTGAATTAATATCTGCATCTAAGAATAAAAACTATTGCATGAGGCCCTTCATCCAGATCTATACCAAAACATTTATCAGACCAAGTTTTAGACAAACAGATTTATCTATCGATTGACTTTAAAACTTTATTGCTATAATATAAGCGTTTTGTAAACTCTGTAATACAGCAGATGGAGAGTCTAAATTAATGAGTTCAAGGGTAAAGAGCCCAACTACACCAGCCCCTTATTCCATTACGGTGACACAAAAAAACACCTACATTTCTGTTGGATCTCAATGGGCATGGTATGGAAGTCAAAGCAGTCAGTAATAAGTGTGTTTGCTGTTGTTTGTGGAGTTGTTTAATGATACTCTGCTGAGACTGAAGGTGTTTTATTTTACTTGATTTTATTTAATGCTGTAACTCAAGTCACTGTTTCTGTTTCTTGTTTTCTTCCTTCAGTGGTTGTGATTATTAACAGTAGGTGTTCATCAGTGGCTGAATTCACTCATTAGTCTTCATTAACTCTGTCAGGTGAACTATATTAGTAAACTAGTGTATGGAATAGTGAACAAGGGCACAAAGTGTGATTTCAAACACAGACTTTAAAGACGTCGAATCTGGGGCCTGTTTCAGAAAGGAGGTTAAGTGAAAACTCAGAATATTTTAACCCTGAAATGAGAGAAACTCTGGGTTTTCCGTTTCAAAATGGCAGGTTTGTTAAACTGAAAAAATCAGGGTAAGTCAAGCCTGTTTCTGAAAGAAAGGTAACTTTAACTCAAAGTCAGTTACCAAGGTAACTTACTCTGTGAATCTAACCTGGTCCGGAGCAGGTTTTATTCTCTAAACTCTGAGTTTCTGTTGGTCTCCTCCCCTTTTTTTAAAGATGAAGCGTATTTCTCGCCTAGCCTTACGTTTCCACACACCTATTTTAAAGCTCATTTTCGAGATGCCTATAAAAACGATTGATGGAAACGTCATGATTCACATAACTTTTGAAAATACGCATAATAAAACATGTGCATAACTGAGTAGGTTAAACTTTTATTTGATAAGATGCACATAAACTACTAAGTGCACTTAACAAATTACAGTATGTACATTAAAAAAAGGTTTGTTAGAGATGATGATGAAAATGTGTGTGAATGGACAAACCAGCAGACTGAGCACACTGCAGAACATCTTAAATGTTGTTTTAGTCATTCTAAAATGCCTAAACTGTTTCAGTATTAGTGTATATTATTAATTACCTCCGAGCGTCTGGAGCGTGTCAATACTTAAAATTAAAAATTACGCATTAACTTGAGCAGCTGTTTTCCCCACGCTAATTGTCTCTGTTTCACTGATGGCTGCTTCTTTTTAAATATATACGCTCATATTTGCTATAACTTTGCATGAGCAGATCAAGTTCAGCTGGAGAAAGAAATGGTGATCTCTTTTTTTAAGATGTTGCCATAGTCACTCGTAATATCTGCACTCCATTGATAATGCCTTTTTATAGTCACGGTGTGCGCTCTTAACTCTGAGTTGGTCTACTCAAAGTTGATTGACCCAGCTCTGTTCAGCTGTACTGAAACCGAAAACTCTGAGTTTTTAATCTCTCGGTAAATCACCTCAGAGTTCAAGTTTAAACTCTGATTTGTTTGAGCCTCCTTACTGAAACAGGCCCCTGAACTGTTAGCTTACAATTTTCTGCTGTTGGTTACTTTCTCGAAAACAAAAATGTTACCCAGAATGCACTGATTTTAACAGAATATTACTGTTTTAGTGAAAAAACATTATTTTACTGTAGAATCTGACCATTTTTTAACAGCAATTTTTTACAGTGTCATCAAATACCTTATTAGGTGCAGTGATTTCTAACTTTACTGTATTCAAATGGCTGTGCAAATAGTATATAGTGCTGTCCTTTTCAGAATTTTTAGACTATTTTGCATTGGAAAAAATGTACAGAGTAAACTGTCATAATGAAAACATGACAAAGCCATTTGACTATCTTTTTCGTAAACAATGGTGTCGGGACTTTTCATCTTGATGACAATGACACTTTGATTAACATCAATACTTCATTTTGAGGAATGAGCTTGAGCAAGTGACACACTTTTGCAGGTTATCAACTGATCAAGTTTTGCAGATTGTACTAATTGTTTTGAAAAATGCATGAACTGTTGTGCAAATGTAAATAGTGTTGTGAGAAAGGCACCAAAGCCACTGAGAAAAACTGTAAACAAGTAAACATGATCTTTCATGTCTAGTTTGATTTCTGATACATTCAGGGTCTATTAACGCCACCTTAATAATGTTCGTCATCAAACCTATCCTTTTAAACCTTTACATAAAGTAACAAAAACAAACATCTTGCTTCATGGCTTGTATGAGTATTTATTCGAACATTTCAGTTTGCTGTTCAGCTGTCATCAAGAAATTACAGTGTTCATCTGTACCTCTCTGTCAATTACTGCACTCTTTATTGCAGGTAAAAAGCTTTAAACTTAAAGCATGTTTTTTTTTTCTTCTAATGGCTGATGATGACTCATTCTTAGTTTAAACCATATTTTTTTTCTTTTTTCATATTTTTCTTTTTCTCATTTTTTTCTTTTCTCCTGGTATTGGTTTCCCCTCAACTTTGAGAACTCCTTGTTTATTATTTACTGCACATATAAAATATCATTATGCCGGTCTAATGTCAAAAGATAGATAGATAGATAGATAGATAGATAGATAGATAGATAGATAGATAGATAGATAGATAGATAGATAGATAGATAGAGTATAGTAGAGCAATATCACATGAGTAGCAGTGCAATATGGCTGTATATCAGCACTGGTGGGAGTTGGTTTGAGGTTGCAGGCAGAGCGCCTTAGTGCCACACAGCCATATCGCACCGCTATGAGTGTGATGTTGCATTTATACAACAGTTAATGCCATAATTGTTTGTATAAAAAAGAAAATCAAACACAGAGACTCTTAAAAACCCTTTTGACAGAGGAACTACTTTCTTACACCATTTATACACATCTGCAGCTGACGTCAGAACAGCAGAAACCATTGCCAGTTCACAAACATAACTTTAGACCTAGTATTTGAATAATTCTCTAGCGTAATGTCTAAAGTGCACTCTTTTGCTGACA